TCCTGCAACATAATCTCTTGTTTATGACCATGGTTGATTTACTTAGCACTTGCTAGTCAACAAGTATGTAGATTTACTGGCCTACACCTCTACCAATTTCTTGGCGCGTGTTACGAGGCCTTAGCCACCACCATCAAGTGTGGCCAAAAATCGGTTGGTGTTTTAAAACCATCCATCTGAACAATCGGGCAGCGGTGCTGTGCTAGCCACACATAACTTGGCAATACTGTAACACACCCAATTTGGCTTTCGGGCCTTTGACGCTGTCTATTAGCCGGGTTATGAGCAAATTACGGGAGCGCCGCGGCCATAACCAATGGCATGCCCCACAGAAATCCACGGCGGAAAAAAGCTAATTGCACCACAAACACACGTTGCGATTGGTGGTGCCGCACTCGGTGGTTTGGTGGTTCGGTGGAGCGGCCTACGCAGCCTGCGGCCGTTGTTTAATATGCAACAAATCAACGCGCCAATTGTGGCGTAAAATATTTACATTGCCCTCCGCCGCGGGGTACTTTGACCCCCGCCCCAACACCCCTGTGCCGGCAGCTACCTTTTTTTCTTGCAGCCACTAGGTTCTCTACAAAGCTCCCTAATTCTGTTGCGATGTATTACCAATATGTTTTTTAAAATTAGATACTGTTGCTTTATTTTTTACTAGTTAATGGTTTACATTAACTAACATTAAGTTAAGTTAAGTTAGGTTAAATTAATTTCTGATCAAGTATTTGTTGAATACATAGATTGTTTTACCATCTTCATGTCCAGTCAGATATATAGTAATAGTTTTTAACATTATATTATTGACTGGTATTGATTTAATATTTATCATGTAAATAAAAAAATTTGAAGACAGCGATTTCAAATCATTATCAATGTTAATATATTGATACAACCTATTAATGTCCAAAAAGAAATCCCATTTGAAGCTAAATACAATTTAAAACAGTAATATAAACATTTAAATTATGATTTTATAAACCATTTTTCGTAACAATTTTAAACAATTCAAACTAAGTGTATATGTTAGATGCCAAAGAGTATATATATGAATGTGGCAATATCCAACTTTTTCTTTTACCCTCCGTAAAGTCTTTATCTCCCCTGCAGTTTTCTCATTTTTCAACGGGTAATCACCTACTCCGCTACCGCTAAGCCCGCTCCCCATAACTCTTTGATTTTGTTTATTGCGTTTAATTTGCGCATTGTTTGTGTGGCTTTCGGGGATAATTGCAGGCATCAATTGCAGCAGCAGCAGCAGTAGCACCCACTCAGACACACACAGAGGGGCAACCAAATTGCCGGTGGACAGTGGCAATCAGATTGCCACAGACACCCACTCGAACCACTGGAAAAATTTACAAAAACCACAAACTGTTCCGTTTGGCTTTCATTAAGTTTTCAGCCGCTTTTTTGTTTTGGCAACTCCATAATCAACGTCCATTTCGAAGTGACCTCCTAGCCCCCAACCACCTCCCATTATTTGCTTTGGCCATTTGTTTGGTGTTTGTTTTCCGATGTTGTGTTTGCATTTCTCGCCCGTGAGTTTGTGTGCCATTAATCTCCAACATAGAACCAATCAAACAGCCACGCCAGAGAACGCTGAAATAATTCCCCACTGTTATTGATGATGTGTTGATTAGGTTCTGACAAACCAATCGCGGTCATGTGAACAACAATCAAAGTACAAAATTTCACTTTGAACTCAAGCCGCGAATGGGTGTTGGATTTGAATACCCCGCTGTGGGGGTGGAACTTTTAAGCCCGGGCCCCAAATGCACTCCATGTGTGCGGTCATAGGCGAAATTTGGGTCATGTTTGGCCGCTCATGTTGGCAATCCAAAAAAAAAAATGTATATACAGAAATAAAAGAAAAACCCTAAGCCGAAATCATGCAAACCAGCGTGTCTCTAATGAATTGCCACCCATGTGTGGCTGCAGTTTTTTACTGTCCATTACCTGGCCAGCGGAAAAAAGCTGGTCAAGATTTGTGGTCGCTGCAGTTACGCCAAAGTGCTGCCACTGCTGCAAGAATAACGCCGACTGTCTGTCAATTGTTCGATATTTATGGAACATAAATCCAAACTGAAGGGTCATTCACTAATTGGGGTTTTTCGTTTATGGGGAGAGGTTTTAATGGTTGGCTGGCTTAGAAATGAGTCAGATGGGATCGTATTTCAAAGAAAGCCCCATTTAAGTCTTCTTTTACAGCCATCAGGAGATAGCTTATGTGCGAGCTGTTTTATGTTCTTCTTAATTTTTCATTTAAATTAGCTCCAAGCTACTATTTAATTAATGAAATGCACATCGTAATTTTTAAATAAGAAGTACATTTTTAATAGTAAGACCTTTTTTGTTTCTTAAACAAAATAATCTGTTATTGGCTTAACAATTTTTTTAAAAGATTGCTTTTTTTTATTCTAACAATTTTAGAGCCATGTAGATATACAAATAAAAAAATTATTTTAAATTTATTTGATTTGATTATTTGATTTAGTGACAACTACATTTTTTTAAGTAAAAAAATGTACTAAAAAGTTTAAAAGGAACTTATTTTATAAAGCAATGGTTTTAGTTTAGTTAAATTTTATAAATATATGTGTCGAAAGAAGTGTAAATTCTGGCGAAAACTTTAACCTATGTGTGTTATAACTTTAAAGGCATTATTTGGATAAACATATGGTTCAAACTTCCCAAATCACAACATTTTAACCTTCCACACGTCAGTGAGTCTCATCCCATGAACGACCTTTGATTTCCTCGATTTCGCACATAATTATTTCCCCCTAATACACAATCAAATACAATTATATTTGAATTCCAATTTATGGTACACTTCCGTAACAGCCCCCAGAGACTCGCTGCGGCCAGTGCCCTTCCAACGGCTTGTTAAGTCACTCAAAAAACGAAGAAAGATCTTTGCATTTATAATTTCATGCCAGAATTCCTTGATAAATTGATATATATGCTAGTTCACTTCACTGGCCGGCTTGTGGTTCGACCATGGCCAGTGCCACGCCCCCTCCGGCCCACCGAGAGTCCGGCTAATGGCCAGGCCAATTGTCGCAAATTAGTGGAGGCCAGCCCAACACGCACACACAGTGGGAGCACGGACACACATGCAAACAGGTGAAGTGGAGTCAAGACAAGACAACTGGAGTCAAGACAAACACCTAAAGCCAATCCACATGAGCACCCAAGCTAACGGTACTCCGGCCAGCAGAATATGGCCAAGAAGACGGCCGAGAAGCCGGAGAGAAAGAACAGCTATAAAGAAGTTTACTGCTACAATTGGCAAATTGAAAATTGCTCGCTGGTGGCGGCGGCGTTGGAGTTTCGAGCTGAAGTTGAAGCCAAAGCTGAAGCTGAAGTTGAAGTTAGAGTAGAAGTTGACCGGGCCAAGGCGGAAGCTTCGGACCAAAAGACCCTGAGCGGGCCCAAAGCTAAGCATTCCCCCTTTCCCCTTCCCCATCACCTGCGATGCGTTCGTCTGGCCAGATAAGCTGACATCCACGACGTGCCGCAGACGATGATGCATTTGCCAAGGTACTCGCAAGTAGTTGCAGCCCCAGCCGCTGGAGTCGCCGCACCAGACAGAGACGTTTCAATTTCAAACGAGGAAAGCTGTCTTAGCCGACTACCGAACTCTAAGATACCCTAAGCGAAGATTTCTCATAAAAATTGGTTATTTATCCTTAAAAGTTTTAACTTGTTCAAAAACCTCATTTGAGAAAAGAATGTATCAGTAGCCACAAATCTTACTTGTGATAAAAATTCGCATTTTCTGAATTTACAGTTTGAATTATTTATATGGTATTATAATTTGAAGATGAAAAATCAACATTAAAAAAATTATTTTGTCTTTCAGGCAAATTTATTTTAAGAATGGAAGGATTGAAGTTATTATAGTATTCTACAACTAGACTAATATTCTATAACAAAAGAGAAAGAAAGCAACGCATTTAACTACAGCAAACAAATCAGTAAAATGGAAAACCATTTCTTAGGTATAAATAAATCAAGCTAAGAGAAAACTACTTCACTTGAGAGTAATCGGGCTTGTTATTTATAGAACTATAACTTTGAAATTTTAAATAGTTATGTTAAATAATAAATAAATGTAAACTGCGGAAGTATGAACATACAAGTATAAAATTTGGCATTAATTAATTACGATTTTCTTGACTCATGTCTTTTCTTCTTTATTCTTGGTTCTTACTTTACATTCACCACTGATTATGTAGCATACCCTTTTAAGCCATAACTAAAAGGTATTCTTAAAGAGCAACAAAACGGTTTTGGCCGGGCCAATCTGGCAGGCAGACATTTTAATGAAGCCGCCGTCAGGCAGAATTTGAGGCAGCCACTCTTGGCCGTCTGGCTGGTAACGGTGCCAAGTCCACGGGCTTTTACGGGTAGATCTATAAGTCCACGCACTGGCGTCAGAGGCCAAAACGAATGACTTAGACGACGAACCTGATGAGCTTAGCCAGTGCGTAAGATTACCTAAGTTTTGGACTTTGCCTTTTTGTTATGAGTACTCTCTAAGAACCTCCAAATATAGGGTCTAAAATGTCACTTTCAACTTTCGCTACCAGTTTTCCCTGCCGTCACATCAAACTTGACCCAATTCTGCGGGGAAACACCCACACGGAGATTTACGACGGGTTCTCTATAATTAAAAAAGCAAGCAAACGAAACGAAATGAAATGTTAACTTCAAAGACCACTTGCTTTGGGAGCCACGCACTTGATTGGCACTGCCACGCTGAAGGAGATAACTGGGCCCAGTCTGTTTAGGCGTTAATTGCGGGTTCTGGCAAATTACAGACTTGGCCAAGAGGCCAGAAACATGAAATGCACTTTCTCTTTGCCGCAGCGAAAAGTGAGTGAGTTAAAATGGATTGTCTTGGTCTGGATGTGGATTGAATTGGATTGGATTGGGACTCGAGATGGATGTGCGAGGGCGTAATGCCAAAATCGATGGCAGCTGCTGCTTACCTTTTGTTTAGTCTTCTAATTGCTCCCGAAAATCGCCGATCACATTACCACTGCAAAGAGAGAAGCAAGGAGAAACACATGAGTAAGCAAAAGAGAAATGCAAATTAGTTTATGAAAATACTCGAGCAGACAATGAACTCCTCAACTCGATTCCCATTATGGTCTGAGCTCTTCAATAGATCTCGAAAACTACCTTTGCCGTCAGCTACAAATTGACATTGTTTTCGTATTTATTTTAGACACATCCACAAGGCGGCAACACATGTAGCCCCGTTGTTCTGTAAGTGACTTTGATTTCGATTTGATTTATTGCCTGCAATTGTCGCGCACAACTGAAAAGTGAAAACTTTCTGCCTTGGTTTTGTTCACTTTTGCTTTCGAAACTTTCAATTCGGTGACTTAATTTCTTAATAATGAAATCGAACTGCCGCTTAACAATGGCAATAGCACTTTTATTGTCAAAGGTTTGCCAAAGAAATTATCAAGTGCAGTTCGGCTTTGGCACTTTTACTTTCATTGTCGTGGAAGTGCTAACAAACGAACAAACGGTCCCAAAACCATTTTCACTTGAGTGAGTAATGCCTGTTTTCCTTTTAGCAACGGCTAATGAGCCGAAAATGCTTTTCAAACCCATTTCAAAGGGTCGGCAATCAGTCACCGACCAAATTACAAAACAATTTCAATGTCTTTGAATGCGATGTGAAGTCGATTTTTATGGGAAAATGTTTTGCCGAATGAAATGAAATGAATCTCTCACAAAGTCTAAGCAAAATGTTTTATGTAAGAAAAGCATATCTATAAAAACAATGCTTGTCAAACTAAATCAAATGCTTTGTCTTTTATGGCCAAATCAAAGGCAATAAAAGGCAGATTAAATTTTAACAAATTAAGTGCTTTTTGCAACTTTCATATAAAACTATCCCAAATATTTCCACAAATTCTAAACTCAGCCTTGCTTTATTTTCAAATATATCTAATATGTAAATTTATTCCCGAATTTCTAAACATATGCGTGCCATAAAACTAAATCGTCATAAAAAGATACCATAAATATTTATACCATTGTGCCATGTCAACAAATCGTTGTGACAAGTTTTTAGTGTTGTGTTGGCCAAACAAAACGTTTATACAGCCTTTGTTACCTAACATTATTACGGTTTATTAGAACTATTATTACAAATTTGCTGGTAACTTTTTAAAACCATAATTTATATAATAAATTCTTGCAGCGTTTTGTAACCATCTAATTGAAGTGAGAATTTTGTTATAAAACTCACTGGTGTATGACATATTAGGCATAATGGAATTACTATATGCAAGAATTCCCACAACTTCTTGGCCGTCTGACAACGAGTGTTCCCAGCCGAGAAGACAAGGGCATAAATTGCAGTTGGCCAGTTTTGGTTCACTGTACCGTGGCGGCGACGGGGGCGGAGGAGTGGGCGTGGCTGAAATGGTAACTGCAACGAGTTTGCATGCAAAGCATGAAATTATCTGCAGTTGATCTCGAGTGGGGGGCAGCTTGGATTGGACCTGAACATGTTTGCTACTCGAATTAAATAAACAACAAAAAACGAGAGCCAACAATAGGAGAGGCAAACAAACGTATCAATTAGCAGGAGTCAAATACCCCAACCCAAAACGAAAAATAAGCAGCTGGCCAAAGAAAAATTGTAATTGCATTGAAGAAAATATAAAAAATTCCAAGTTTATTAGCTATACTGTGGAATTTATAAATTAATAAAAATAATTAAAAAACTAAACATGACTTTGTTTTCACAAAAAAAATCTATTTTATTTAATAGTTTGTTCATTTAAAATTAACCCTGAAATAACTATATATTTTCCCAAATGAGCAAGTAGTTAAACAAACCGAATCGAAAAATCAGTCACACTTTTATCTTTTCTATTTTGTAATTATTTATTTGTGCGATCGGTAGACATTCACAATGAAAATATTCAAAAAGCGGCAGACGAAAGTCAAGTCCTTTTTCCGCAGCGAGGACATGGATTTGTGCCAACTGCTGTTGCACGTGGACAACGCCTTCGATTGCCTCATAGAGTTGGGTCACCACGGATCGGTGCAGTTCAACAATGTGTACGACGAGGATCGCCTGCTGAACAATCTGTATTCGCGGAAGGTGGCCCAGTGCCACGAGCTACTGCGGCTGGTGGAGAACCTGCACAACCAGATCACCCAGCTGCATGTGAACGAGGTGTTCTACCCGGACGTGGATCGGGATGATCGGATGCGGGAGAAGGATCTGGCCAAGTACGGAGATAGGTTGAAACGCATCCACGTGGAGGCCAATGCCGTCACGGAGCACTATTACCGACTGGACAATCGCCGGTATCGCATGATGGAGCATAGCTTTGCCATAACCAGAGCCAACAAGTTTATGGCCGCGGACATGGGCAGTGAGCTGCTCTACTCGGAGAGCACGATGATGGGCCTGGTGCAGGATGCCACCACGGCAACCCATCAATCGCAGCTCAACTACATGATCGGTTGCATCCGAGCGGATAAGTTCTACAGCTTTGAGCTGTTGCTCTACCGCCTGTGCTCCTTCAACTTGATCATTCGCTTCACCGAAATGCCCACTCCGGTCTTCGAATTTCATCATGGTCAGCGGCCAGAGAAGGTGCGCAAGTTCGCGCTCCTCATGATGGCCAGTTCCACGATGCTTTGGCCCAAGGTGCTGAAGATCTGTGGCCACTACCATGTGAACGTCTACGACTGCCCGAGATCGGCCAGCCAGCGGGAGGAGAAGGTGAGGGAGCTGAGCCAGGAGATAGTGAATGTGGAGAAGGTCCTTAAGGAGGCAGAGTTTATGCGGCGCCAGATCCTGGAGGTGGCTGGCCAGGACCTGTTCATTGTGCGGGTTAATCTGCGCAAGGCCCTGAAGGTATACGATCTGATGAATCGTCTCAGATTGGTGGGCGGACTGGAGGTGCCCCGGTATCTGCTGGCCGAGGTGTATGTGCCATCCTCGGATGTCCAGGAAGTGCGGGACATCCTGCGCAACACCTCCAGATTAAGTGGGGGTGCAGACCGGAAGAGCGAAAGGGACAAAGCCAAGGAAATGGATGAGGAAGACGAAGAGATGACTGAAAAGTATCAAAGAATGCGTTGGCAGGAGAGGAGGGATTCGGATTTCGAACCGGACGAGGACATGTCCTCTCGGGCAATTTTGCTAAAGAAAACCCGATTGGTCAATCACATGCCACCAACGTACTTTCGGCTCAACAGGTTCACGAGGGGATTCCAGAACCTGATCGATGCCTATGGAATGGCTGACTACAAGGAGCTGAATCCCGCTCCTTACACCATCATCACGTTCCCCTTCCTCTTTGCCGTGATGTTTGGCGACTTGGGACATGGCCTTCTGTTGATTTTGTTCTCCGGCCTTATGATTTGGAAACACAAGGAGATCAAGAAGTATCAGATCTCGTCGACCTCGGAGAACGAGATCCTGAACATCCTCTTCGCGGGTCGCTACATAATCCTACTGATGGGGATATTCTCCGCCTACATGGGCTTAATCTACAACATAGTCATGTCCAAGGGCTTCAATCTATTCGGTTCGAGCTGGAGTTGTCGCTACAATGCGAGCACTCTGGAGGACCACATGACCCAGCTGACCTTGAACGCGGCAGATCCCAATTTCTACACGGGCAACCCGTATCCCATTGGGATGGACCCAGTGTGGGCCGTCTGCGGCCAGGACTCGATCACCACCACCAACTCGATGAAGATGAAGCTGGCCATTGTCCTGGGCATTTCGCAGATGATGTTTGGACTGGGCCTGGCCGCGGCCAATTGTGTGCTCCTGAAGAAGAAGGCGGATCTCTTCCTGGTGGTCATCCCGCAGATGGTGTTCATGATCTGCCTGTTCTGCTACCTCGTCTTCCTGATCTTCTACAAGTGGCTGGCCTTCGGCGGGCACAAGGAGACGCCCTACAACTCGGCGTGTGCCCCCTCGGTGCTGATCACCTTCATCAACATGATGCTGATGAAGGACGAGGAGCCGGCGGAGAACTGTCTGGCCGACATGTATCCCTATGAGCGGATGGTGGAGTACGCCCTGGTCATGATTGCCCTGTGCTCGATACCCATTTTACTGGCCGGCAAGCCGCTCTATCTGCTCCGGCGGCGCCACCAAAAGCAGAGGGAGTTCCGGGATCTGAAGCCGATGCGCCGGCAGACGATCCGGGAGATGCGTTCCACCATGCGGTACACCGAGGACGATTCCAGTGAGATGAGCAAGCAGAAGAGCGTGGACAACGAGGAGGAGTTCGAAATGTCGGAGATCTGGATTCACTCGGGCATCCACACCATCGAAACGGTGCTGGGATCGGTGTCGCACACCGCCTCGTATCTGCGCCTGTGGGCACTATCCTTGGCCCACGACCAGCTGTCGGATGTCCTGTGGCACATGGTCCTCAACAAGGGCTTCCACAACAACCTGCCGCTGTACTACGGCGTGCCCATGCTCATGGCCTCCTTCTTCGCCTGGGCCATCCTCACAGTGGCCATTCTGGTGATGATGGAGGGATTGAGTGCCTTCCTGCACACCCTGCGCCTCCACTGGGTGGAGTTCCAGTCGAAGTTCTTTGGCGGAGCGGGCGAGTCCTTCAAGGCGTTCAGCTTCCCGCCCTCAAACCAAAGGAGTTAGTTTTATTTTCGGTTTTTTTTACTTTACAATACAAATTATTGGTTTATGCATTTTCGTACTTTCTGCTTCTGTATGAACTTTATAAAATCAAACGTTAATAATAATGATAATTTTGCAATGTTATGATGTCTTCAATGAATAATTTAAGAAGTACAAATTAAATGTAATGTTGGCTTGCTAAAATAAAAATAGTGTTAAACAGTGCATTTTAGTAAAACCTTTTTAAGATTGCACTGGATTTGCAAAACATTTCATAAGATAGCTATGGATTTTTAAAAGATTTTCTTTGTAAGTTCACGGACATCCTTAATGGTTTTCCTTTATAAAATGTGGTTTGAAGTTAATAGCGTGTTTGCAATAGTTTTATAGTAGGAACAAGCATATATATTTTAGGATGGACCTTCGTTGTTGGCTGCCCCTATCTTTTGGCAATTAACTGTGGCCAAGAGCAAACCAAGAGCTGCCCACGCCCGCTGCTGCGGACTTGGACATTCCTTTGCAATTAGCAGTAGCCGGGCTCCATGCAAAAGGCCATAAACCAAAGCTGGCTTTAAACAATTTCCATTTGTTTGCTTTATGCCATTGCCAGCTGCTGCTGTTGCTGTTGCTGTTGCTGCTGCAGTTGCTGCTGTTGCAGTTGCAGTTACGACTGTTGCCGCGCCGGGCTTCCTTCCTCCAATGCGGGCGCTGAAGTCGTCGACCCTTTGGAGCTGCTCTTGTGCCAGTATGGCTGCTGTTCTATTATACTCCGCTGTTCTTGTCGTGTACCCTGTTTTTTGCTGAGCAAAGGAGTATATTTTTACTGCGTTTTATATTGGCAATTGCCTGCTATAAAAGTTAGGACAATAAAAATTTAGATCAGGTTGAGATTGATTTCTGTTCAACTTTTTTAAAATAAAAATGAGGAAATCTTTTGACCGTTTGTCCTCGTACCTTGCAGCTTAATAAGTCAATAGCTTCAAATTGTATTATATAACTTTAAATAAATTAAAAATCTAAGCACTTTTTCAAAAAGTGGTCTTAGATGAATCATTATGTGAATTTACATATTAATTTACATTACGAGCAAAATTGCTTAAAAATAATAATTAAAAATATATCCGTAACAAGTCATTTATAGATTTTCCTAATATTATACCCACTCTTGCCACACAACGATCTCTCTTAAATTTAAGCCAAAAGCATTAAATGGTATTGTATTTTATTTATCGCAGAAAAATAAATATATATTGGCGTTTTATTTCCGAATATAAAACTCTAAACTCTAAAAGATTTTGCTCAATTTTATTTGAATTACCCCAATATACGTTATTGTTGGGTAATTCCTTGTCGAATTATTTTACGGCATCGTTCTTGCCAGTTTTCCACACACTCACACAGCCGAGCTTTTCTGTGTCTTTGCTGCTGTTGTTGCCGCTCTGTTTGCCATTAACACCCACGCCAGCAACTTTGGTTGCTGGTTGCTAGTTGCTAGTTGCCAGTTGCTGGTTGGCTGAGGCCCAAGACTTGGCATAAATTATGAACAGCAACCGATGACGCATGCAGGCCGGCCTAAGTAGACTGGCTCGTGCATAAATAACTTTCGTTAGCCACACGGCCCGGGTTGACTTGGCCTGACTTTATTAGATCGCAGCGACAACAACAGCAGCACACCACGGAAAGCAGAACTAACTCGATGGCAGTAATGTGCAGTAAGTTTCATGACCAGAGCAGGTTTTGGGCAGCGAACACTCTACGCAATTGCCAGCCCAAAACAGGCTCTGACTCTTTGGCTTTGGCTATAACTTTAAACCGCAGCACGCGCCATTGTTTAGGTGCTGCAGCAAAGAGCGGCAGCGGCAGCGGCCCGGGTGGGTCAAGTTTGTTGCCCAAGTCTTTTGTTTATACTTTCGTTGATGCGGCCGCTGTGCGTGGCTCTAATGCTGGGCCCAATGGCCAACTGCTTAGCACTTTTATGGCCAACAATTGTCAAGTCTCTAAGGGGCTGCCGGGCCCAGATTGCAACCACGGCAGCTTAGAACCGATGCACGGAGAGAAACACAAAGAGATTAGAGACTTTAAAAGGCAAGTCTTAAAAAGCATTTCTTTATTCTAAATTATATAAGAAATTGAAGAATTTAAAATTTAATGTTCAAAGGATGAGATATATGATAGAAGATGTTTCATTACCAAACACCTATATAAAAAAGATACGCAGAAACAAAATTTAAAATAGTTCTTAGACGACATAAATCGAAATTTATTTTTTAATGGTAAAAATAGATTTTAAATAAGCATATACATTTAACAATCAATAAAGGCGGTTTGAAAATGCAACTAATAAACAAATTAAAAAAAAAGAAATCAATAGAAAATAAATGTGGCTTAAAGCTATATATTTGAGTAGGGCACAATACATTTTTATTTCTGGACAAACTACTTAAAGCTTAGAAATAACTAATGCAATATCTTCGAATTTCCGACCGATTTCGTTAATATTTTCTCTCTGTGTGCACTGCAAGAAAAGCAAGGTCGCATTGTTGTCTGGGGAGAATCAATTTGAGACTTAAATGCGGATGGTTGTCCGTTTTCTGCTCGTCAGTCGCATCACGTCACGTCACGATCTCCGACTCATGCTCTTGGGTCGTCAGTTTTTTGAGTGCATTGCCGCTGTCCTTTAAAGGGTTTTGCCCATGGATGTTGCTGTTCCTGCTGCTGCTGCTGCTCCCATGTTGCTGTTGTCATTGTTGCGGCAGCTGCAACAGCAACAGCCATTGTTGGCACTGCGACTCTGTCTAGTTCTGCTTTTGGGCCTTTACATGCGCGGCAGTAACAAAAAAGGTGTTAAATTCAGCCCATGGTTGCTGGCCAAAGCGAACTGCAGGCCAAAAGCCACAGCTAAAGCCAAAGTCAATGTACTCCGAAGAATTCGCTGGCTCAGCAGAAGGACATTTCCAGCTCCAAACTCGGACGTTGAAGCACCTCAAGTGCTTAAACACAAGCTGGGCGAGCGAAAAAATAAAATCATTCAAATGAAGTCAGCATGATGAAAAGATCATCCAAACAACAAGCGAAAACAAAAACATACAGATTTAACTGTAAACATCTGTGAACTATTAAGACAATTAATTAACTGGCTACACAATTTGTTGGCTTTGCACATTTTGGCCATTTCGCTCGTCGGTCTGTCAAGTGGAAAAATGCCACTTAATTCCCCACAAATTGTGCATTGTTTGGGCTTTAATTAAAATTGTCTTTTGTTCATCTTCGTCTTTCTCTGCCTTTTCGACTCTTTTTTGCTTTGCAGAACGGAAGCTGACAATTGACTATTAAAGAAGCAAAAACAAGCCAGATCTGCTAATGCGAAGGGGAAAAACTTTCACTCAGCCGAAATGTTTTAATTAAAATTGGCAAAAAAAAAAACAAAGCGGGCAGAGCTGGGGAAAGAAATTAATTTAAACTAGATATTGTGTGTAACCGGTTGGGACTTTGTATTTGCAATGCTCTGCTGGAAAAGTGAAATTTCTGAGACGCGACTTGAGAACCCAATTTTGGCATTTAGCAGTTCATTAGCAAGATAGCTACAAAATATGCATAAAATTAATCAGATAGTACCAAATAAAGGCCACAAAAGCGGAAAGTGAAAGACTGCAAAAAACACACTTCAGCTGCCCATAAATATAAAAAGAAATTTCTCAACATAAATATAAATAAAATTTATTGCACAATTTTACGGTTCATTAATATTTTTGAGAATATATAAATGTTTTTTTCAGTTCTCATAAATCGCATTTATTGCATAGTAATTTTGAACATAGTCGAGATATATCAAACAACATTGTTTCGATTTTTTTTTTATCTCTATAAACATTGGCTGTGGTGTTTTCAATTGAAAATGCCCAAGATGCTTCAAATTATTTTACAAAACCATTATGTCAATAAACTTAATTAACCATATTAAGCTTTGTTTTGACATCTCTAATTGTTTAAGATTATATTAATAAAGAATATTATAAAAGTGAAATGTTGGAGAATGACAAATTCATTGTTGCTACTGGTTTAAAAAACTTTAAGTGGATCACACGCTTAACAATTCCCGTTGGGAAATATTAATTGAGCTAAATGTTTTGTTTTTGTGTCACAACCAAGATAAGAATCCAAAATTAGTTAACTCAAAATGATAAACCTCAGAGGAAAATACAACCGAAAGCCATGTGACCCTCATTAAAAGTAAGTTTCATGTATTTATGCCTTTGATCTTGCAGCGACGACCACACAAACACTCCGGAGAACGCTTTTGATTATTTTCTCAAGCGGTTTCTCTCCGCCATTTCAGCCTTTTGTCTTGGCCCAAGTCATGCATAATGAGAACCTGATATATGGCGATATACTATATACCCGTATATATGTCAATTACGGCACGATCTTTTGGCAAATTCGCGACAGCCACCGCCGCCTGACACATTTCCAGTGGGTCAGAAGTCTGATACCGATATTTATGTCAGCGGCGACAATAAATTTGTCAGCTTTTTGTTAACCGTTAAGTAAACGCAATGCATGATTTGTGTTTTGTAATGAGGGCGAGTGAGTGAGCCGGCGCGAAAAATGTCGAACGAATCCGCCGACGAAGATGAAGTTGAAGTTAAAGTCGAGTGGCGAACGAAACGGGTTTGGGTTCAGTTCATAAAATATTCATGATATGCCAAATGCTTTGTTTTTGTTTGACTCTTTGATTGTTTTTGCTTCGTTTTCTTTTTGGCAAGCAAAATTGCTTAAGATTGAGTCATGGAATTTCGCTGGGACATCAATATTCAATAGCAATAGAATAATTCATAATGTACGGCGACAGTAAAACGAATTTTGTTGCAAACAGAAAATCAATTTAAAGTTTTATTTACTTTGTCCAAATATAAGCTGGCGATGGAAATAGTTATTCAAAATCAATATTATGTAATTAGTTTATGGAAATCTGGAAATTTATTTAAAGAATGTCTTTTTGCTTTTCTAATTTATTTATATTTTGGTTGAAATGTGTTTATATTCAATATGAGTTAAATTCTGGTATAAGCCCACAAATTTTGTAATGTTTGTAGCCTAAACTTTTATTATTAACCAACAAAAAATTATAAAAATAAACAATATTAAGTGTGACCACAATAGCGACATTGACCATTCAAGTGCTCAAATTCGAGGGCTCTTAACACATTGTTTCGATCACTTTTCGGATGCAATAAATGGTGGCAGCAACAACAACAGCAGCAACATTAGCAGCAACAATGGGAGCAATAGCAACAGCAACACCAATTGCCTGACCTTCAGTGGGCCACTTGAGGCGGACTGAACTGCCGCGCAGCTTCTGCAGCAACAACGCGAACTCGAACACGAAGTTCGCTGGCTGTCATTTGAGTGACTGACATGCAACACTAGCAACAGCAACATCAGCAGCAGCAACAGCGGCAACAATGCACAATAGCGTGCCACTGACAGCCGAAAACACCAATTGGTGTCAAAGCAACAAAATGCTACCGAATTGCAACTGCCACAGCTAAGGGAATTTCTCGCTGCCGAAATTAGCAATAAATCAAAGATTACGAGTTCGGAACGCGGCTAACTAATTTCACTAAAGGGAAACGCGGTGCACGGAGAAAAAGCTTCTGGAAAAAATCGGAATTTATTTAAAGCTTCAAAGTAACAAATATATGTTATTGTATTGCATTACTGCTAATCTAAATATTTACTAGACCTACTTGTCACTATGGTTAAGCCATTAGTTTTGAACTTTCTATGGGCTAATACAAGGAAAAACTTGACTTTATGTAGAAATATATTTTCTATTGCAGCTATTAAAATTTTAATTTTAAATATTTTTATACCCTTGCAGAGGGTATTATAATTTTGGTCAGAAGTTTGTAACGCAGTGAAGGAGACGTTTCCGACCCCATAAAGTATATATATTCTTGATCAGGATCAATAGGGGAGTCGATATAGCCATGTCCGTCTGTCCGTCTGTCCGTCTGTTTCAATACCGTTTGCGAGCTCAGTTTAAAAGCTAGCGATCTGAAACTTTCACAATCGTCCTACAACATGTGTACGCAGATCAAGTTTGAAAATCGCCCCGATCGGACGTCTATATCCTATAGCTCCCATAGGAACAATTGGATATATCTTGCAAGAATTTATGATATTTCGCGCAGTGTAAAAGCTATTGACATTAATCTTTACAAATCGTAGTATTTTATGCATACCTTGATCAGGGTAAAAGCGCGTGGCGATCGGACGTCTATATCCTATAGCTCCCATAGGAACAATAGGGTAAAATCGGTTAAAATTTAATGATTTTTAGGATATTTCGCGCAGTGTAAAAGCTATTGACATAAATCTTTCCAAATCTTATTTTTTTATGCGTACCTTGATCAGGGTAAAAGCGCGTGACGATCGGACGTCTATATCCTATAGCTCCCATAGGAACAATAGGGTAAAATCGGTCCAAATTTGATGTTTTTCAGAATATTTCGCGATGTGTAAAAGCTATTGCTGTACATTTTTTCAAATCGTATTTTTTTATGCATTCCTTCATCAGGGTAAAAGCGCGTGCTGATCGGACGTCTATATCATATAGCTCCCATAGGAACAATACGGTGAAATCGGTCAAAATTTCATGTTTTTTAGAATATTTCGCGCAGTGTATAAGCTATTGACATACATTTTTCCAAGTCTTATTTATTTACGCATACCTTGATCAAGGTGAAAGCGCGTGCCGATCGGACGTCTATATCCCTTGGCTCCCATAGGAACAATAGGGTGAAATCGGTCCAAATTTGATGATTATCAGAATATTTCGCGCAGTGTGTAAGCTACTAACATAAAATTTTCCAATTCTTATTTATTTACGCATATCTTGATTAGGGTAAAAGCGCTTGCCGCTCGGAAGTCTACATCTTAAAGGAGATAGGAAAAATTGTTAAAGGCTGCGAAAGTATCCCTTTTTTTCTATTTGTATATGACATTTTTGCAGTATAAAAGCAATTGACTTGAAACGATGCTAATCTAGTTTACTTATGTATACCTTATTCCTTTCGCTACTTTTTCACTTTTAGCAATTTCGTCAAAGTCTGCAAGGGTATTAAAACTTCGGCTTGCCGAAGTTAGCTTCCGTCCTCGTTTCAAATAATTTTAAATGTTTTAAATTTTGTTATTGTCAGAAGAAAGCTACTTCTTCTTACCCCAAATTTTGTTTAATGAAACATTTGGGAAGTTAGGCTAAGCTTAATTCCGTAAAAAAATCTTGAATTGCTATGAAATTATTGTTTCGAATTCAGCTCACAAAAATCTTTTCCAAAAGGCTAAGTTATTTATTGTAATTTTGTTTAGACCACAGTGTAGCTCAAAAACACAATGCAAAAATAGAATATTCAACAAACATATCTCCTATATTTTTTTCTCTGGACCAGAACACTTTGCAACCGTTTTGGGCTGCCGAAAAACGCGCAGAAAGGCAGCGAAAAGCACTTTGAGCCGCGGAGCTGCCCACGCCACTTGAGAGAGCAACAGCAGCCCGCCAGTCACATAAATAAGTCACCATCAGAGTCAGATTCAGATTTAGATTGAGAATGAGCGACGCTGACGCCGAGCGCACACTTGGCCATAAATCTCGAAAAGCGTGGGCAGGTCGGAACCCCCTTCCCTCTCCCCTGCCCCTGCCCCTTTATCACTTCAGCAAACCGAAAAAGACGTCAGCGGCAAATGGGGCCACGCCTCACAGAGCTTGTTGGCCAAAAAATCTCCAGGGTAAGATGTGGCATCAAGTGCGTATTAAACACTCTGCCATGGCCATAATCAAGCTAATGCCTTCTTATGACTCAAATTGAAAGCATCTCCTTCGCGGCCATTGGCAATAAAAAAATAAAAGTGAGTGGATGCAGTATTTGTTCATAATCTGTTTATGGTCAACAGAACTAGGCCTCATTACCATATGAGCCAGTGCCAGCTGCCACAAACATAAATAAGCCAGAAAGTTGCCGTTAGGCCAACGCACTTAGCACCAACCGAAAGAGACGGAAATTGGGGAGAAGAGGGAGATGGAGCGTGTTGGGGATTCTCCTCAATTGACACATTTGGCACAGAGTTGGTTTCAGGCATTTGATTTGCATTTATTTTTAATAAACTGCAAGGAAATGGCAATGCCATGGCTCTTGCACTCGAACTTGTGCCAAGCCAGTGCAAAATGGGAACAGCCATCAAATTCCAAAATAAAAAATTTAAAGCGCACTAAGAACATTTATTCTTCATCCGCCATTTATGTGTCTTAAAAATATTTGTAATGAAATACATATAACATACGTCCTGACTTTAATAAATTTACTAGCATAGAAAATGTTCAACAATAACTATTTTATTGATTTTTTGTTGCTATCCTCAGAGAAAAAAACAGTAAAAAATTCTTTTAATTTTACTTGACGAGGAATGACATATAAAAAGAATCAAGAGTCATAAAATACTTGGGCTAGGCTTATCTTTTAGGTCATTATTCCCCAAATTAACTTATTTTTTGTATGCACCACACAATTAACAAACCACAATTTTATGAACAAATATATATTTTTTAAGTTTTAAAAGTACATAAATAAATAGACCTTATATTTCTTTATCCCAAACTTACCCAAAAAAACACGTTGAGATGCGGCAAAACCAATTCAGAAGCTTTTCTGTAACGAGCAAATAAGGTAAAACATAGTTTTTAGTAATTTGCAAAGTATTAAATCAAAAAAGCTTACAAAATACTTCAAAATTTATGAGACATAAATTTCCTGGGGAGAGTTCAAGAAGTAAACATAAATTGATTTACGCTTTAAGTCACGTCGCGAATTTGACTTAAATTATCACTTAAATCTGATGTACGAGTTGTTAGAGCAAACACCTTCTATGACAAATTCGAGGTGTATTCGTGTGCATACGGCAACAATGGCCAGCACATGTACTGCGGCTAGCTTGTTAACTCATCCAAAAAGTAAACCACATTCTTGAGAGCATTAGAAAAAAAAAACTACAGGCACAACAAAAAGATAGAGCCATGAAAAGTCGGACCACAAAAAACATGTTCAGCGCGTGTAGCAGCAGCAGCAGCAGCAGCAACATCAACTTAAACAAGAAAGGAAAGCTAACTTCGGGCGGAGCCGAAGTTGATATACCCTTGCAGAATACTCTGTAAATTATATTCTCCAAAATTATTCATATGATGCATTCTTAATACTCATAAAAAATCCCAACTTCCTAACTTTAAAAACACCAAAGTTATGACATTTCCAATCGTTCAGTTATATGGCAGCTATAGGATATAGTCGGCCGATCCTTATGAAATTTGGTAGGTCGGATTGATTAGCCAAATATAAAACCCATAGAAAATCCCAACATTCTAACTTTACAAACACCAAAGTTATGGCATTTCCGATCAATCAGTTATATGGCAGCTATAGGATATAGTCGGCCGATCCTTATGAAATTCGGCATGTCGGATTGATTAGCCAAATACAAAACCCATAGAAAATCCCAACTTCCTAACTTTACAAACACCAAAGTTATGGCATTTCCGATCAATCAGTTATATGGCAGCTATAGGATATAGTCGGCCGATCCTTATGAAATTCGGCATGTCGGATTGATTAGCCAAATATAAAACCCATAGAAAATCCCAACATTCTAACTTTACAAACACCAAAGTTATGGCATTTCCGATCGTTCAGTTATATGGCAGCTATAGGATATAGTCGGCCGATCCTTATGAAATTCGGCATGTCGGATTGATTAGCCAAATACAAAACCCATAGAAAATCCCAACTTCCTAACTTTACAAACACCAAAGTTATGGCATTTCCGATCGTTCAGTTATATGGCAGCTATAGGATATAGTCGGCCGATCCCGGCCGTTCCGACTTATATACTGCGTGCAAAGGAAAGAAGGGTGTGTGCAAAGTTTCAATTCGATATCTTTAAAACTGAGAGACTAGTTCGCGTAGAAACAGACAGACGGACAGACAGACGGACAGACAGACGGACAGACAGACGGACAGACGGACAGACGGACAGACGGACAGACGGACATGGCTATATCAACTCAGGAGGTGATCCTGATCAAGAATATATATACTTTATAGGGTCGGAGATGTCTCCTTCACTGCGTTGCACACTTTTGACCAAAATTATAATACCCTCTGCAAGGGTATAATAACAACAACAGGGGGGCGTTGGGCGTGGCCCGAGTGCAAAATGCAAAACAACATTGAAGACGAGAAAATCTGGCTACTGTAATTTGTCTGTCCACCAAAGACACGACCCCCAATCCCCCGCATCGCCCGCTTTTCCATATCTCCAAGCCCCTAAACTTGGTTGCAATATGTTCGTTTATTCGCTGGGTTGTTGATCGCGTTTGCCCAGCCGGTTGTTGTTGTTGTTTGCCTCTACGACTTGGTCCGGGCCAGTTTGCAATTGCTGCTCTACTTTTGAGTGTGTGCTTCGCCCCCTTCGCCCCCTCCTGCTCTGCTCCGCCCCTGGGCAGTCCCCCCCCCACCAACCCCTTTTGGCCAGTTGTATTCGCTTCCTAAAGTTGCCGGCGTCGTTGGCCGCCTTTTGTCGCTGAGGTCAATTTTTATGTTGCAGCCATTTTTCAACGACACAGCTACAAAAAAACTAAATAGAAAAATTTGTTTTCTTGCACTGAAAACAATTACCAAATTCGCTATTGAAGAAAACCAAGGAGTGTGATATATAGTTATTTTAAGTGTAATTTTTATATTTAATTTACATTTTAAGTGCCATTTTTAGTACCAAAGATAAAATAAATTGAGTTTTATTGTCAATTGTCTGGCTCATTGGTAACAAGTATTATAGCCAAAATATATTTAGTTAAGTCTTAAAAACTTATGGCAAGCGTGGATTTAGAAAATTATTTAATATATAGAATAAATAAACACAAAAATTAGGCAAATTAATATAGTTTCTACATCTACCAGTAAAATAAAAATCGTAAAAGGAATGGCCCCTTCAACACAAAAAAAGCAAACAACAACTGTTTAGATTGCACTAATCGAAAACACATATTTGAAAGTTCATATTTAATTACAATTTTGATAGTTAAATTTTGTTCTCTCAGTCTATTATCTGTGGTTTATGTTCTTTCCACATATATTTTTAATAACTTTCGTCTTTTTCATACCCCTTTTAACAACTTTACGGAATCAGTATTTGCGCTATAGTTTATGTCATGGTTTTAATGGGCTCTAATTTAAATGGTGTTTATGATTCTTTGGTGTGATTATTCGTTTTTGATTTCCTTTTAATGCATTAATATATTTGCGAGCAATCAAAAAACGTGTAAATGCTGCACCTTTTTTATTTTTACAGGGTATTCAAGGTTTCTTTATTCAACTGAACACCCTTCTTTTGCTTTTCCTCTTCTGTTTCTATTTCATTTTTGTGATTTTTTTTTTTGGTTTTGTAAATTTTTCATGTTGTCTGCTGCACTTAAAGTTACGTATGAACATTTTGTGTAGGTCTACTTTGCCTTTTTTTCTGTTACAGCCTTTGTTGCCGACAAACTTTTTCAACTTGACACTTGAACCGAGAGAACTCCAGCCAAATGAACACTCGACTACAAGAGGCAGCCTCAATGGCTTGACACTTTCAGTTGGTAATTAGTTTTGCGGCCATGCATGTAAAACGCAATTTCGTACTACAGAGCCTTAGAGGAAGATGCTCAGATCGAAAGCAAAACCCCAATTTTAATTCAACTACATTGATGAATTTCGGCTAGACAATAATCGATAAACTAACAAGTTTTTGGGCCCTTTGTTTACGGGTAACCTTGAACTGCTGCAAGTTGCCAAAGTTGCAATTGCAACAGTCTGAAGTGACTGGCAAATGATTGGGGCAGACTTTCGAGTGTCTGTCAATCAAGTCGAATCGGAATTAAATCATTGACAAATAACAATAATCAGTAACAAGGCTGTAACCTGCTGCTGCCTTTGTTTATTGTTGCATGCGGCATGCAATGTTGCAGCTGCCCTGCAGCAAAGAAAAGTGAAAATTCTTGGCTGGCTGCTGAAAACTTTTGGCACACCAGCGGGGATTCCTGCCTGTTTTCCAAACAAATATGAAGAGGCACCCTTTCTCCTTTTGTTGATGGCAAACTGTGCCGTCGTCATGTGCCACATTTGCAGTAAGCTGAAAGTAAAAATAAAGCCCAGTGAACTGAAACTGAAACTGAGCATGCAGCATAAATATGTGAATAATGCATAAACAACTAGAACACATTGCACTGGCAGCCGTGGCAGCAGCAACTGTTGCTGTGTTGCATGTTCACAAAGCAACAAAAACCTCGAAAAAATGGCTCAACTACAAATATAAATATGAACATTTACTGAGAAAAGTTTATGCACAGGTAATTAGAGCCAGCAGTCTTGTTTGCCGTTGCTCATGTTGAATGCAACTGCAGTTGTGTTCTTCTTTTCACCCAAATAAAACAGACGAGTCCAGACTTTGGTGCTACTTTAATTAAATTCTTCAACATACAATTGAGAGGGGCAGCAGCGGATTCTTTGCGGCAAGCAATTTTCAAATGCCCTTTGTGCGCAAGTTTCAGTTCATAATATGAAAAGCAGTCGGCAAAGTTGGGAAACTTCGAAAAGAAAAGAAGGGCAACCAAACGAATGGTAAATATTCTAAAATATAGGGAACACATAATAAGTTCAGCTACTCTAAGGTTGTAAGTTTTTCAACAAGTTTAAAAGAAACTTATGGCAAGAAAATCGGATCATTCATTAAAAACTCCAATACACATATAAATTACGGATGCGCGGTTTTAAATTAATTTCATCGTATTTGAGCGATAGTTTTCTTGTAAGTTATTATACGATAATTTTTTTTTTACTTTAATTTTATGTTCATGTTGGCTGTAAAAACGCTGATGACTCTTATAGCTCATAAAGTATGTGTGAAATATACCACACTTGAATCTCTAGGTGCATTCCATCCGCCTATTGCCAGTTGCTTCTCTAACCCATATACCTCAATAGGTAGCCATAAGCTCAGGTTATAGGGCATGGATGAAAGAGGAAGAGGGAAAATATCGGGAAAATGAGGAATTTTCACAGTTGCAACCCAAAGTTCATCAAAACAGCATAACTACAGTTGCAGTTGCAGTTTGGCACAGTCAAAGCCAACGACCAGAGCCACCCACTCGGAGTTGAAGCGGGTAAATAGGCCAACTCGAAGGGGGTTACTGCCACAGGGGCGTGGGGAGGGGGGTCTAAGGGGGGGCGAACTGTGCCCAAGGGGCTCTTGGCTAACAATGCATATGACAAACTTTTGTCAATTTATTAAGAAGCGAAGAAATATGGTTTCTCTCTCCAAGCCAGGCTAACCTGATTCCCAGGAGAAACCAGGCAAAGGCAACATGGTCAGCTGGAGGAAGAGTTTCCTGCTGGATGGCATCGTGGAAACCCCTTGCGAAAAACCCTCATCGATCTCCCTCATGTAACCACTGATACTCATCATCATCAGCAGCAGTTGCAGTTGTAGCAGCAGCCAAGACGCAGTTCAAACAACTTTCGTTCGCATAAATTGTTGATAACAAAGGCCGGGAATCAGAGTTGGCTACCCAAACTGGTTGCACTGGACGTTTAGTGCACAGCGACAAAACTAAATAATAAAA